CGTATTGACTATCACAGCCCTCGCGTGACCCGCTGCAGGTCCATGCAGTCAACATTAATCAGTAATGGAAAAGCAAATCAGTAAGGATAAATTGCATGGTCACCCAAACAGGACATGGGACTAGGAACGCCCTAACCACCTAAGAGAGGTGACTTTGTGATACATTTCAGGAGGGGTCAACGACTCCTTGTCTTAAGCTAAACACTGACCCTAACATAAAACTTAACTGTAAAATAGACCTTAACCCTAGCACTACCCTAAACCCTACAGCCTCAACGAACCCTAACCCCTAAATCCTTAACATAGCCCTGACCCAAACAACAACTGTGACTCAAACCCCAACCTTAAACTTAAGCCTAACTCAGTGCATACACTTAGCTTAATCATAGACCTGATTTCTCAGGACTGTAATGCAAAGCGGCAAATATTCCGAGCAAATACTGTTCCTTTGTCCTGTTTACGTGGCCATACAAGTCATTTTTACCAGCAAGTCAACAAAAATATTATGAAACGGAACCTAGTTAGGGCAATTTAACCGGCATTATCTGGACCATGATCAAAAATGCCATGTGAATATGGATCTGATTGAAGACAAAATACAAAGCCTTGTCAAAATTGGCATTTACCTTGGGTGTCCAGCGAATATTTAATGTCCATTGTGAATCCTGCAAAAAGGCCAGTGAACCGATGTAAATATCAACTAGTTTTTAATTCTTCGACAATGGCTCGCGGAGTCTGAACTCACGGCTCTATGAATGGATCTTTATGCTTATTAAAGAACAAACCATGGTAAAAATGCCAGAAGAATGCTGCCTAACCTTAACAGTTCTTTGAATACCAGGACATATTTCAAAAGCACCGATAAATTCGGTACTTTTATAGGCGGTCAAGTACGGTCGCAAAATTTAGAAAGCAACTTATATGAAGCTTGCCAGAATTAAAAGTCAAAATTAATTGTTAATTAATGCACCACCACAGGATTTTTAATAATATATGTTAGACTAAAGTTTTCAAATAAATGTCATGGTCGTGATTGTAAAGATATTCATTCTTCGATGCCTTCCCAGTGGTTCATTTTAAGCGGGAGCGTGGTTTTTGAAGGCAGTGCCGGCACTTTGGAACCTCACAGTAATTTATTCATTGTTCAAAATATGTTTCCTTTCTCCATAACAACATGTTTCGGTAAGTATACCGGAAAATAATAAAACAAATGCTGACAAGTCCTATTATGTCCGCGCCACCCGCAAAGACTGTGGGCAAACATTCAAAATTCTGTACAATATGCTCACCAGCTATGAGGTTTATAGATGACACTCGTCTAATTTACTGCATTAAAACAAATGGCTTCTCTAGCACTACCTTTCTCATCAATTAAAAATAGTCATAGAGAGGTATTTTTTCTGCATTGTAGGGATTGATCGCTGTTCGATATGATAACCCAATCACACAAAGGTTGATTTCAAGCCTGAAGCAAATCAGTGAATGATCATTCCTCCATGGATACGGTTGACTTGAACGTTAGCGGAAATGAAATTATCCTTTTTTACCTAAATATTACCGCTTACTGACCTATTGACGTTATTTATTCATTGATGAATGCTCATCGATTAAAACCACAACTTACTTGTCCGGTCCCGCATTAAAGCACATGGTCAAGCCCTTCCACGAGCTGCACAGCGGATAGTAGTTAAGGCAGATGAACATAACTGGCAAAGACAAAGAGGCTCCAAGGCAGATAGGGACGAGTATGTTTCCTTATTGATCAGTAAGCACTCACTAACGAATGTCAATATTTCAGACCTAAACCGGTAAGACAATGAGTCCGTGACTCAATTTTTAAACTGTTGGACATTATGCCAACAGGTCGCAATTTCAAGCCTCAAGTGGTGCATAACTTGGAACTGTATACGACTGGCTACTGACGGCTACTGAACCAGAGATGGCATTCTGGTTTTCCTTGTCTTTGTTGGCAATATTAATCTACTCTTTGTCTATTTAAAATTATACGGCCAGCTCAGTTACCTTTGAATGTGCAAAGGAAGGAATCGTAATTATTTAGAAAGTAAGGAAGAAGATATGTCGAGCCCCGGATCAATTGATTTATAGTCCTGGGCTTTCGAACTCTTACAGGAGTTCATCTCCAGAGATAAGAAGCAACAACCAAAAGAAGGGAAATTATAGTGGCCAAAGGCCAATCAACTGTCAGCAGTCGTCAAGAGGAAAGGAACATCAACCAAAAGGATGGAGGTCGGGGGGACAATTATAGTGGTAAACGCTAATTACCTGTCAGTGAAGATGGCTGCCGTTCAGGGTCATAAACAGTAATTAGTGTAATGCCTTGTCCCCAGGGTAGAGGGTCCCGGTGGTCCTGCCTCCTCTTCTGGCCGGTTCGTAGTGGGTTCCTTTTCGTTTGCAATTCTGACGCTAGGCTTGGCCTTGTTCCGTCCTTTGCTTACATATTGGCGTAAAACTTTGTCTAGATGCCTGTTGACGGAGTTGGCATCCGAGTACCGTGCCTCAAGCGTCAGCCTTTCGGCTTTCGGGTTTCCTCGGCCTATGATGGTTTCTCCTTGAATGTCGAAGCCATGGCCAGTTTCTCCAATGTGTGCTGCAAGCTGCGAGCTTGGGTCTAGCCTCTGAGCCGCCCGTTCGTGTTCGTGTAGGCGGGTCTGCGATTTTCGACCTGTTTCTTCAACGTAATTACAATCTCTGTCGTTGCAACTTATCTTGTAGACAATCGCAGAGGTTTCGGTAGGGGGCAGTCTGTCTTTGGGTTGCATCACACACCGGCGTATTGTTGCCTCAGGTCGATGGGCTATGCCTACTCCAGCGGGTTGTAACAGCCGTGAGACTGTTTCAGAGACTCCTTTATGTAATTTACATGTGTTTTAGACAGGGAGCAGGCTATATCATGCCATATTTGTCATCTTAGAACATTTGTCAAGAAGATCCGCGTAATTACCGTCGTAATTCTGCGAATACAATCTGCGTGATCATACATTTTACTTGCTTAAGGCTTAGTTAGTAGTCTATTTTTCCCAATGTATAATAAATCTCTCTATGACGTCATTAAGTTTTACGTCGAGCACATAACAACAAGTACTCACAAAGCAATTGTCATATAGCATTGAAAATTGGCTAAACACATTGTTTCGTTGAAACCACATTAATTTTGACTCTGATTTTTGACAATAAAAAGGACAGTTTGACATATTTTCTTTTAAGTTATTATAAATGAGGTCGAAATTATTTTGGGAAGTAAATGTATGAGCCTAAACCATATTTTATTCAGAAAAAGGACTTTAAATTGTATCTCAAAGCCAGCATGACTGATTAACTCAAAAAGCACTAGTTTCAGATGAAAAAAACCTATTGCTTACCAGCTGCCAACTGAAAAACAGTTCTTACACCGATGAAAACTGTTGCATCCAAGACCAATGATCTTACCTACTAGAGAACACATAGGAAACACTTGGAGTCCAACAATGAGTAAAATTCCCGGAAATCGCGGCAGCAAATGACACAAACGCAATGAGAATTTTATATGTTCTGTTCGCTAAAGTTGTGGAACTTTCGTAGGAATATTCCAAGGTAAACTCGAGTAAAGTGCCATCAAGGGCTGTACCCTGTGTCGCATATTCATTTCGGGGAAAGTAAGTATCTCAACGCTAAAAGATGGAGTAAGTCCGAGAAATTGAATG